CGTCTCCAAYGAAAATACCGCGTCATCAAAATTATAACGCTTCAAGCACCAAAACTTAGCTACACAAAAGGCTTTTACGAGACCGCACTCCCCTCAACCCATCTTAGCCCCGCCGATAAAGGAACCTGGCAAATAGTTAAATCGAGAGAGAGAGAGGGTTAGGCTTACGCCTAGTGAGTCCAAACAAAAGAGTTAACAAAAACATAGAGGAACATATATAAACATATACACGCAATTAGTTGATATGACCCTAAACAGGAATAGGGCCAGCAAGACCTGAATAACACGAAGTGGAATAGTAAAACATCCGAAAATGACAGGGGAGACCCGATTTACCGTTGGTTATGACGGACACGAAGTAAGTCATGAATCAACGTTACAGAGCATCACTTACAGGTTCAACACCATCGACATCAACCTAGCCAGTCATGTAGTCAGTCGTGATCATAAGCTCTTTACCTCGGTAATTACATAATAATCACAATGCCTATTACCGAGTGAAAGTGAGAGGATGATTTGGTCATTACATAATAATCACAATGCCTATCACCAATTTACACCATCATACCCACGAATAAAATAAAAAGATATACATGCACTGGTAATTACATAATAATCACAATGCCTATTACCGAGTGCAAGTGAGAGGATGATTTGGTGATTACATAATAATCACAATGCNGGTAATTACATAATAATCACAATGCCTATTACCGAGTGCAAGTGAGAGGATGATTTGGTGATTACATAATAATCACAATGCCTATCACCAATTTATACCATCCTTCACACAAACATAATAAAACCATTTCTAGGCGGCATATTTAGATACGTTAACATATGTATACGACCACTTGTACATTACTCAAATATTCGCATGAGTCTTCAAATGAACGAACATTCCCATTTTACCAAATATCAATTCCAAACGTGGAACATGAGGGTTTATAGGGCTTTATCCCAAACTTACTTTGACACAAGTATTTCACCAAGCAAGTAATCACCTATAAATAAAGTATAAGAAAAGCATAACCCACAATTTCAAATTGTATAGAGCTTCTAAAAGAGAGGGAGGTTGGATGAACTCATAGTGCTTTTCGATACTCAAAAATCGAGCCAACTTAGGCTCTACGTCCATATACGTCTAAACATCGACCAACGGTCACTCTGGAAGGACCAAGTGAGCTTATTTAATACTTGTAATATGTACCCAAAGTTTCATAAAGATCCGACGACAAAAACTTAACCAAACTTAATTTAAACTCATTTTAGGAATTATAATTGACAGCTCAAAATTAACTTTTTATCAGTTTTGAGACGCAAATATAACCAACCTAGAAGTCTTATTTCTAAAAAGTGTCTAAAGGAAAGGTTTAGATCTACATATAAGCTTTCTAAMATGTCCAGAATCGTAGCAATCCGAGCTATGGTTAAGAAGTTATCGCACGTTCAAAACAGCATCTCGGGTAGATTTGGTGCTGTCAACTTTACCAACTAAATAGGCTAAAATCCATATTTTGGATTCAATCTTTATTCCAACAATCAAAATACCGTCTAACCATRTTTATATTATTGATTACAAGATCAATACTCAGGAATTTCGCCAAAATAGCCGTTAATGAAGAAAATCAAAGGAATGGTTTTTCTACCTAAAGAGATTTCCATTTCCAACCAAACAAGTATTTTCATCAATTTAAAGTTTGAGGTAWAATATAATGCATCATTTCAATGATTATAAAGTTTTATGATTAAAAGTAGAATGAACTCACCTCGAAGGATCTAAAAGAATCCGGCTTAGGACAGCGGCTGTTTCGGGTCGTAGACAACACGGCAGCGCGCTTGCTGCTGCTGCTGGTCGTCGGGGAAAGACACACAGCCAAGGGCTGTTTGCTGTTTTGGCGAGGGCGCGATAACACGCACAGCAGCTGCTGTTCGGCGACCGAGACGGAGGAAAACGCACAGCCGTGGGCAGTTTTCTGCTGTTGTTGCTGTTTGCCACGAGAAAAACACAGCCGTGGGCTGTTTCTGCAGCTGCTGGTGCTGTCTGCTGTTGGGCGGAACACAGCAGGTTGCTGTCGACTGTCCGGGCAAGGAACGCGAAGAGAAACAGCATGGTGTGTTGCTGTTTGCTGTCTTATGAAGGAAGGCCCAAAACACATCGTGACAGCCGCTGAATGGCCGAGAAAGATGCAGAAGGTGCAGCACTTGCTGCTGCTAGGCGAGGAGGTGCAGAAACACAGCAGAGTCGCTGCCTTGCTGTCTCCTGTGTTGGGCGAACGTAACACACAGCAGTCTTGCTGCTTGTTGGAGATGCTGCAGTACGAGGGAAGAGACGCAGTAGCCT